TGTTGAGCACAAAACTTGAAAAGCATCACGGAATAATCCTTTAAGTCTATCAAATCCCATTTTGTCAAAAAATTCCTGTTGAATAACATCGCAGCATAGTGCTACTAATTCAGAATCACACGAATTCTTTCCTAGTTGTTCATTTATTATATTGAGTCTTCGTGAGGAACGAAATACTTTATTTGTATTTCCAAGTATAGCTGAGAACAAATCTTTTTCTTCTGAACGAAAGATGCAAAGTATTATAAAAGCTGTGAGAGTTAATGGTTGAGCTTGTGTAAACAGCTTTTCATAAAGATGCAAGCGAGCAGGTGATTCAAGAGGGATAATTTCTAAAATTCTTAATACAAAGTTTTGCCTAGCTATAATACTCTTTGTTGTCCTTTTTGTGTCCAAAATTTTAAAAATGTGATCAACAAACTTTATATCCGAAGGGCCGTATTTACGTCCAATGTCAATAATTATAGAGAAATAATTAGGGGGTATTACTTGCAATGAGACGAGATCATTGCATATACTAAGAAGTTGGAAGGAAGAAGACAAGGGACCTACTGAGAGGTCGGTACAAAGAAGAAGTATCTGGGGAACCTCAAGCTGCCATTGCTGCAATTGTTTTTCATTAATTGTATGGATACGATCCAATGTCAACTGGGCAGCTATATCCGGGAGATCCCTTTTATAATTCTCGAAATTGTCATTTATATCTTTGACTATTTCATTAGCAATTGGATAACAAAGTTTAGATAATTGTAATTCAGCGATTATAATATCTGATTTTGCCCACCAATATGTATGAAGTCTGATAGGGTTCATAATTAATTTTTTGCCCAAACGCCGTTGCAATAAAAGGGTAATAAGTTTAAGATTCTCATTACCCCCATTATTAGAAGATATAATAGTAAGAAAATCTTTGTAATATAAATGTCCTGCTATTTGTAAAGGCGCATCTTGGAGTGCAGGAGTTTTTAATAATATATTTTGGAACCTTTCAAAGCAATCAGCAAGAATATTGTTTAATAGATCTCCAGTGGAATTATCAATATTATTTTTATTTTCTTTAAGTATTTTAATATCCTCAATATAAAGCTTCTCATAAAGGTTAATTTGCTTGATAAGGTAATAGGAGAAAGGGAATTCCATGGTATATGGACCACTTGACAAGGGATAACTATCAGGTTTTGGATCCATCATGAATTCAACGTCAATAACATTATTATCATTAAACGTATGATACCAATATTCAATAAGGTTATTGTCACCGTTTTTACATTCGAGATTTAATAAAGTTTTGAGAGCAGATAGCCGTTCAAGTGTGCATAATAGCTTAGCGATATGTTTCCTCACAATTATTCTGATATATGACTGAAGAGCAGCACAGAATGATGAATGTAAATAAAGCACTCTCTTGTCAGTGGCAACCTTTAGCTGCCAATTTTCTGAAGTACTATCATCTAACCATTTTAATGTTCTTTGCTTCAACATTTTTATAAATCGTGGATGTTTAGGAATTTCATTGACAAGATATCTGAAGAAGAAATTTATTGTTTAGGCAAAGATTTGAAGACTTGAAATAAGTTAAAAGTACTCACTTAATATGCTCCACTGAGTCCATTGTAGATGGATATTTAATACAGAGAAGACACCATAATAGCTCTTGCTCTAAGATTTCTTCAAATGATAAAACTGAATTCATGACACTTATGATTTTTCCATTAAGGAAAATTGGGAGGTTTCTTTCTTCCGGTGGCAAAGTTCCAAGAGGAATTTTTTGACAAAATGGGATTTGATAGACTTAAAGGATTATTCCGTGATGCTTTTCAAGTTTTGTGCTCAACA